GAATTGTATTTTTATAATAACTGGCATAAGAACCCCTACTGGCTGGTCATCATCCATCTGTAATGCCTTGTACAGCAGCACTCAGATTAGCAGAAGGAGAGACAGCAATGTGAGCCAATCGGGGCTTTGTTCAGCTGCATCTGCCTATAGAAAGGGAAAGGTCAGGATTAACTTTATACATCTGCTACTTCAGTGTCACCCTCAGGCTGAGGGTGGGTCCTGTGCCGTAAAGGTTCACTCAAGTCAAATTTGAACAGTGAAATACATACAGGGAGTACAACCTGTGCACTCAGTTCATCAATTTTCAATTTAGACGTTTCTGAGCACCTCTCTGTTTCATTTTTTTGTTGGTTATATGCCAGTCCCAGCTTCCTAAAATTGTGCCCACTTCCTTCCCGGCATGCTCAATTCAATGTGAAAAAGAATGTAACTGTTTCCTAGAAGTATAGAGATCAGAAGTTCCTACATTTCTCTGACTTCACTAGCTGCATGTTTTACCTTCACCAGTGACTCCATATTGAGGTCAGCAAATAAAGGTGGAAAGCAGTGGCTTCTCACAGAACAGGACTCCTTGAACCTTTGGATTTTTAGTAAAGTTACAGTGTTTTGCTTATCATGTAGATTGAAGTCACCCAATCCAACAGTTTTCACAAGTCTATGGGTCTTCCCAAATACAACCAGCCAGACTTTTTTTAAGGGAACAGTTGATTAGGGAAGCTAGACAACCAGTCAATATTGCTACTGTTCCATCTGAGATAAGGAACACTGGCAGTGTTATTTGTATCACCACCCATCTCTACCTTGTTCCACTTCCCCTTGAACCACCTAACCCCCATCCCCTTTCCCCCTCTAAATAGCACTGCCTATCTCTTCCTTACCATGTTACTACTTTTCTCCTTCCCTCTACTCTGCATAGCACCACCCATGTCCTAATCTTACCATTTTCTGCCCATCTACCTCTAGTCTCTCCCTAGTACGACCCAACTACTTTTCCTACCCTTTTAATAGAACCACTTGTCTCCTACACTTGTTTCCATGTTACTCCCCTCTCTCAGTTTACATAATCCAACTAGACTCGTAAATCAGAGGTCTTCCTATCCACTCTCTGTAGTCTGTGGACAGTCTTAGTAAGGTCCTTAGTTGGTATTCTGTGTTATAAAATTGCTCCATCTGACTGTGGACTGACGAAGCTGCCAATCTTTGCTCTAGCGGTAACTTTGCTGTATGACAGATCATGTGATGACTGATTTACATTGCAGCAGCATTTGGTGTAGCAGGACTGGGTTATGTACAGTATAATGGATTCTATGCTGGTGGAAAGTCACTGGGTTGGAATAACTTTGCTGACAGGTTGCATCTTTTCCTGCAGCATTCACTAATAATCTGCAAGAAAATGTACAGCCCACTTCTCATGTTAATTCCTAAATCCTCTTAATTGTGACTTCATAACTATTTAGCTTTCAGGCTTTTTATAGAAATTCCTCAGGCATCTTTCCAGACGCTGTCAGTCCACCACAAAACTATGACCTGAAGTTTGTATTATGTACATGTCTCTGCAGAGGAAAAAAATCTGTATGTTGTTCCAGCAGCCAACCAGATTTCAGTAAAAAGAAAAATAATAGAAGCTTACAGTGGACCTATGACAGACAGTGGACACACAATTTAACACACAGTAAAATAACTTTTAAACAAACCGTCACTGACCTACAAAGCTGCAGGTATTGTGGGGAGATTCATCCTCAAACAGCACAGCACAGGTGCTAAACTCACAACTCCTCTTCTCTGTACTTCCTCTCCCAGAAGGGACTTGTCAGTCAGACAGCCTTTTAATATAAAAAGAACAGCAAGTGTTTCTAAGCTATTAGAAAGCAAAGGAAGAATAAAATATGTGAACTTTGTTTCGATAAGCAAATCCAAAAAAAAAATATAGAAAGTTGTTAGAAATAAAACCTATGAAAAGCTACAAAACACACAATGAGATTTTATCATAGTCCCAAAATTCATTAGAAAAGTGTTGCGCTAAGTCAAGAAATATAAAGGTGCTATACATCAATACGTTATTGCGCATCCGGAAGTCTGCAGGAAGCCATTTTGATGTTACTGGCCGATGTTTACTTACAAGCGCTTTTACTTCATTTTAATTTGAGTGCTACTTTTAAAATAAAGGGTAATTTGAATGGGCAAGTTTTTTTTTTTTTGCTTTTATCTTTGAGGCTAACACCGGGATGGACACGTAATTTTCCCAAGCGTCTTCTGACTGGCCGTTTTTCTTACCCTCGATTTTGCCATTAAGATCTGTGGAAATTTGCGCATGCTGACCTTTCTTAATCAGAAGGTCATACAGTTCTGGTAAGCCTTGCATGGTGTTACCTAGTGGAGAATCCTTCTAATTTCTGGGAGATACTCCCATTCTATAGCTGTCATTTGGAGTGGCACATTAGTCATCACCATTTCAACTTTTGGGACTTTAATATATTTTCTTTTATTGCACCTGTGGATTTGGACATTTAATTCTAGATGTATATCATTTTAAGATGTATAGCACCTCTTATATTTGCTTTTCATTTATTCTTGAATTAGCACAACACTTTTCTTATGTCATTTAGAAAGCAAAGGAAACCCAACTTTAGGGCCCTTTCACACTGCATTATGCATTTCGATCAGTAGGGGATCTGTGAATAGATCCCTTCCTAAATCAATTGAACAGTGCAGATGGCACTTTTATGACATTGTGTCCATTCCATTTTGTCCTCCCAGAGTTAATAGACATACAGTATGTTAGATCTATGGGAAGGGGATGTGAATGGATATGAATCCATTTACATAAATACTTCAGATCTGTCATGTTTATGTCCAAAAAAAAAGGACACAGACTATATCTTTTTTTTTTTTTTTTAACGCAGACAGACTCAGAGGTAATCAGATGTAAACAGATGTATGTCTGTTTACATCCACTTGCCGATAGACCCAAACTTGGGATTTTCTTCAGAACTGACAGGCAGATCTGATCAGACTGCATGAAAGGCACCCTAGAGTCTCAGCTGTAAGCTTTGAGATTTCATTCCTCTATGGATCAAGCCGCTACAGAGGTCAATGAATGCTCTTTTAAAGCTCATTTACTGCTTGTTTAGAATCTATAAAAACTTTAATGGCCATAGTCTGGCCATAGATGTGCTTTATTACTAGACTTATTCTGCATCATGTTCCTATTGTTACAATTGTAGATATGGTTTGACCAGTTTGGTGTGGAGGAACTCAAGTGGCCTACACAGAGTTGTGACCTCAACCCTATTGATCACCTTTGGGATGAATTAGAAGGCTGAATGGGATATCCAGCAATGTCGTATAGGTGTGATAGTCAGTGTCTACAGACTTTTGTCCTTATGGTGTAGATTTTATTGGCATAACCATCAGAATGTAGTTGCATGTTTATTTAACCGCCTGCTGCCCTTTTAGTAGTTGTAGGTCTGTCCACATGCATCAGATTTTCAATCATTCCTTCTCTCTGATTCTTCTCATTAATTGTATTTACTGGTAGATTTTCTTAGTGGATTTTAGAGCAAACCCATTGTTGTAATAGAAAGCTATATCTGTTCTCTCTCAGATACTAATACTTTAGTGGTTTGTGTTCTACAATGTGATATGGAAACACTTTATGATGCTTCTACAGAAGCAGTGCACTCTGGGAATACAATACAGAATTGCACTGACCCAGTACTCTCCCTTTCAGCACCTCTTTAACAATTTAACATGTACATAAAAGCTTTTTAAAACTGCAGTCCAAAAAAGCATATTTCTAAATGTCATGATGCATATAGAAAAATTTGTCATTCACGCTGTCCGCCTAGCCAATTGCTTCAGTTGAGAGCCTGAAGGTCAAGACTAGGATGTGCGCATTGGAGCATCAGGACAGCAGAACTCGGCTATAACAACTGGAGCAAAGAAAGATGGGGATGATGTCTGAACCAGCCAATTAAAAGAGAGCTGTCAGCTTACTGGACCAGCTTAGAAATGGATGGCACGCATCTAAATGGTGATTGTAGACCAGTGGTGGTCAACTCTTGATATGGGGGGCCTCAAGTGTGGCCCCTGACATCACCAAAGAGCCACACATAAAATTAACTAATAGTTAATTTTCAGAGACATCAGATGCAAAACAGGATATAGTCAAAGACTATGGACATGATACAAGAGATGGCAAAAGACTATGGAAGTAATACAGGAGCTGGTCAGAGATTGCAGACATGATGCAAGAGATGGTCAGAGACTGGCGGATATGATACAAAAGATGGCCAGAGACTGTGGATATGATACAAAAGATGGTCAGAGACTGCGGACATAATAAGGAGATGGTCAGAGATTGCAGACATGATGCAAGAGATGTTCAGAGACTGTGGACATGATATAAGAGATGATACCAGAGACTGCGGATATGATACAAAAGATGGTCAAAAGATGGAGAGACTGTGGATATGATACAAAAGATGGTCAGAGACTGCGGACATAATAAAGGAGATGGTCAGAGATTGAAGCATGATACAAGAGATGGTCAGAGACTACGGACATGCCGCAGGAGATTCAGACTGTGAACATGCTATAGAAATTGTTGATGACAGGGGACATAATTCAGGAAATAGTCATAGACTGGAGACTTATTAACCACTAGCCTACGGGGCACTTATACCCCCTTCCTGCCCAGGCCAATTTCCAGTTTTCAGCGCTGTTGCGCTTTGAATGACAATTGCGCAGTCATGCAACACTGTACCAAAATGACATTATCATTTTTTTGTGACAGATAGAGCTTTATTTTGGTGGTATTTAATCACCTCCTGAGTTTTTATTTTTTCTTAAACAAACCAAAAACCACTGAAAATTTTGAAAAAAGAAACGTTTTTTTCTTAGTTTTTGTTATAAAATTTTGTAAATAAGTGATTTTTCTCCTTCACTGGTGTGCGCTAATGAGGCTGTAGCGATGGGCACTGATAGGCTGCACTGATGGACACTGATAGGTGGCACTGATGGGCACTGGTAGGTGGCACTGGTGGGCATTGACAGGCATCACTGATGGGCACTAAAAGGTAGCACTCATATATGGCACTGATAGGCGGCACTGACTGGCACTATTAGGTGTCACTGACTGGCACTGTTAGGCAGCACTGACGGGCACTGATGCACACTGATAGGTAGCACTTACTGGCACTGATAGGCGGCACTGACTGGCACTGATAGGTGGCACTGATTGGCAGCACTGATAGGTGGCCCTGGCTGGCATTGATAGGTGGCACTAACTGGCACTGATGGGTGACATTGAAAGGCAGCACTGATATGTGGCACTGATGGGCACTGAAATGTGGCACTGATGTGGCACTGGCAGGTGGCATGGATGAGCACTGAGAGCTGGCACTGATGGACACTGACAGGTGGCACTGCTGGGGCTACACAGATCATCAGGGCACACTGATCATCAGTGCCCTGATGATCAGTGTACATGTCCCCTCCGAGGAATGCCGATTACCAGCTCGGCTCTCCTCTCCTCACGAGCTGTCAGCGCGACAGCTCGTGGGGAGAGTAATGCCGATAATCGGCATTTCCCTGTTTACATGTGATCAGCTGTGATTGGACACAGCTGATCACATGACCGAGCCGACAACTTTGGCTCTTTCCGTGGATTGGTGATCCGCTGTGTCCGAGGGACACAGCGCACCGCTGATCGCCTCGCTCCGGGAGCCGCGCATGCACGGTTAGAATGGGAGGACGTCATATGACGTACTCCCAGAATGAGAACCACCTTGCGTCCGTCATATTACTATATGTCGGGTGGGAGTTGGTTAAATGAGGCAGCTAAAAATCACTACTATACCAGGCAGTAAGGAAACAAGGATTCGTTTCTGCAGGGGTCCCGAAGGCCTCACAAAAAGAACCAAAGGGCCTTATGTTGGGCATCAGGGCTGTAGACAGGGCTTATTTCCTTAGAGAATAGGTGCAGGAACTCAACCCTGCCCGCCCCCACACACACACACACACTCACACCTGCCAAACCGCATCAAATGATGGGTGTGGTCTAATTTTACTAATAGTGGGAGGGTCTTAAAGGGGCAGTAAATATCAGGAGTGCATTACTAAGAGAGTGCAAAGTTCAGGGGTGTGCCACATACAGAATAGGGTGTTCAGGGGTTCTATATGCATCAAAGTTCAGGGGTGTGCTGTGTACAGAGTGCAGAGTTCAGGGGTGTGCTGTGTACAGAGTGCAGAGTTCAGGGGTGTGCTGTGTACAGAGTGCAGAGTTCAGGGGTGCGCTGTGTACAGAGTGCAGAGTTCAGGGGTGCGCTGTGTACAGAGTGCAGAGTTCCGGGCTGTGTACAGAGTGCAGAGTTCCGGGGTGCGCTGTGTACAGAGTGCAGAGTTCCGGGGTGTGCTGTGTACAGAGTGCAGAGTTCCGGGGTGTGCTGTGTACAGAGTGCAGAGTTCCGGGGGGTGTGCTGTGTACAGAGTGCAGAGTTCAGGGGTGTGCTGTGTACAGAGTGCAGAGTTCAGGGGTGTGCTGTGTACAGAGTGCAGAGTGCAGTATAGCCCTCTTCCACAGCTGCTTACCTTTGCATCCCTCTGCCCCATCTCACTTTCACCCCTCCTCAGCTCTGACCTCTGCACACAACCCCCCTCCACTGCTCTTGTTTTTTCTCCCCTTCCTTAAAAGCTCCAACATCTTCCACTTGTCTTACTTTTGTTGCTGTATTAAGCTGAAGTACCCAACCGAATCTAGTACCTCCTTACACATTGTAGGCGGCTCCACTTCTCACTTACTGGGAGATCATCCAGTGGGGGCGTCGGCACACAGGCAACCGGGGAAAAATGGAGATCACAGGGGGTGCAGTCTCCCACACAATGTCCCTCCCCCATGCCCATGACTGCACTGCATTCTGGGCTTCTACATTTCCCTTGTCCCCATCCTGCATTCAGTGGGAGCCACTCGGATCAGATCTGTGGGAGTCACTGGCAGACATGCTGTCACTTGTAAAGACAGAAGCTGGACTTCTATGTTCACAGGTGATAGTGGTGAGCAAGGAACAAGGGCCCGAGCCAAAGGTGGTGGAACTGAGTTCCACCAACTTCCAGCTGAGAAAAAGACAACAAATAACTTTATTCCCTCCTCCAGAATGACACAATATAGGTTAGTATTTATACCCAGTGGGCTTGTAATTTATAATACACAAAAGTGTATCCAACAAAAGGAGTGCAAGGAGCAAAGTACAGTACTTACAGCAATCAAAATCCCTACTGCACTGGCCTTACTTCACTTAACTCATACTTGTTAATTGCTGTGGTTACTGCATTTTGCTTCTTGCACTATTAGGTGAGCCAATGGCCTAGTCACCTGATTTTCACCTGATGAGTTTCTAAAAATGCTAATGGCCTGGCTGTTCACAGATCCAGAATAAGCATGTAACAAGCAAAGTAAGAGTGTTTTTTTTGCCTTTTACAGATTTGATGAAGGGTGAAATTATTGTAAATCTGCTTCGGTAGCGACTGTTTTGTTTGATGGGTTTCTGAGGTTTGTCTGTGTAGAGATCGGAGGAATTTGTACACTGAAATGTTCTATCATTTCACTTGCTGTACCTGCTCTGTGTTTCTTCCTCATAAGTTTAATAACTACTGTCTCTGCATTCCTCCGATGTAATAAGTGATTACTGAATGTCAGCTGAGTGCAGAAGAATGGGCTTGGAGCGAAGTGTAATAATCTAAGTCCTCAGCCTTCATAGCAGGTCTTAGAGAGCATATTTCCATAAACCCAGTCAGAGCTGAGAGAAGAATAACCAGATGTGGCATTTGTATTTAGTACTTTAAATATTGCTAAATGAGGATTGACTAAGGCTAGATTTACACCTATAAGTGTAACCGAGCACGTGTGTTCCTGTGCGTTGTTTGTAGGGCAGCCCAAAACCCTTGTTACCTCATTTAGAGGGGTTTCCTCTCACTTCCTGTGGTGGCCATGGGACAGGGGGTGAAGGGAAATCTCCCCTTATGGGACACAGATGGTCAAATGATGGGAAAAAAAGATTTAGTTCTCCATTAAACTACCTGTTACATTGCCTATCTGGTCTGTCTGATAGTCAGGCCAGTGGCCAACTTCGGGGCACTAGCTCTATTGACCTTGATGACAACCAGAGATTCCCTCGCTTTGGGGAGATTTTCTCTTACTTTCTGCTTTGGCTGTGTGACCTAAAGTGAAGGGAAATCTCCCCAGTCAGACACAGATGGCAAAAAAAAAACAGCCAGTAGTTATAAACCCTCCCTTATTCTATCCAAAATTAAAAAAAAAAAAGTTCTGCTTTATAGAGTATGTTACCCTAACATGTCATATCCCTGATATGTGTCTGTTGTACTATGTACTTGTGTTAAAAAAGTATCCTGCTATCACAGAAAGGCTTCAAGAGGACAGCTGTGTAAGAGGAGATTTCCCTCACATTAGGAAGATATCCTCTTACTTCCTGTTGTGTCTAATGGTCAGGAAAGGAAATCTCCTTAATTAGACAAAGATGGCTAAAGAATTCTGACAGAAGTTGAAAGCCTAATGCCAGGTTTGATTGACCTTGAAATAGGTTGTTTGGATCGGTTGGCCCAAATGTCAAGGGCGGGTAAGGGCGTGCCCGACATCGCCACCCAGCTGAGGGTGTTCTTTGCTTGCAACTGCATCCGCAGAACTTTGCCTAGACGGATTATGGACTCTGGCTGGGAACGCAATGTCTCGCTTCTTCCTGTTGCCTCTCTGGAGGTCCCTGGGGTGGGACACTTGGGATAGTTCCATCCCCTACAACTGGGACACTCCTTGGTACTACTTGGATACCTTCAAGTTCATCAGGGAGCAAGGGCTGCAGGGAGTCAAGCCGGACTTGTGGAAGCCAAAGACTATCTACAAGCTCATCTGAGCCAGCGACATTTTGGAGTCGGTTCCAGGCCTGCCTTCAGACACCTGCAAGGTGGTCTGGAGGAATGTTTCTTCCAACATTCTTACCAACAGGCACAAAGACCTGGCATGGATGACAATCCAAGGGGGGTTGCCTCTCAGGACATTTATGCATGCCAGGAACCTGAGCAGATACAGACACTGCCCCTTCTGCATCATCCACGAGGAAACGTCTTACCACGTTTTCTGGGAGTGCTCATTTGCTCAGGCCCTGTTGGGGGCCCTGGAACCTGAACTCAAGGACTTTGTACCACAGACAGCCATCACTCACTTTGGGGTGTTGAATGGACTGTTCTGTGGAACCTTTTCTCTGGAGGACATTGACGGCGCCTGGCGGGTGCTGTGTTGCTTTAAGGACGCTTTATGGTGCGCCAGAAAGCGCCTCATCCACCAGCGGGAGAGGATGTCCATTGAGGACTGCCGCAGACTGATCCTCAGTCTGCTCAGAGACTATTCCTTGATGGACTTTAAGGAGGAAGAGGACGTCTGAAGATTTCCCCCTTCCCCCTACTCCCCCTTGCGTGTCCTTGTCTTTTCAATAAAGCTTCGGGCCTGTGTCTCCCCCTTTCTTCCCTTCCCCCCCCCACACACCCGATGCTATTGTAAATTGTGATTTTCGGTTTTTCGTTTTGTTTTTTTCGCTCTCGTTTATTGCATGACTTAGTACTGTGTATCAGGATGCTATGGTTTTTGGGGTAAAGCGGCGTCATGCATGACGTGCGGGTCTGGGGATTCATCCTCTGCACATCACGTCAGGCATCATCATACCGCTGAGCGAATGTATTTATTTCTGAATGTATTTATTGTATGCCTGGAACTGTATTGCTATGTGGTGCGCTGCGTCGCAGTACAGGGTGAGATGTACCCCGATTACACGTATCATGTTGTTTTTGATGCTTCTGGTAATAAAAGTATCTTTTCAATCAAAAAAAAATAGACTGTTTCCGTCACTTCCATCCCATTCCTAGAGCAAAAATCAGGTTGGGCTGAGTGCTGCTCAGCCATTCACAGGAAGCCTTGTATCTTTATAAATGAATATAAGGCTTCCTCTTAATGGCTGAGGTGGCAAGGTGGGCTGGTAACATCACAGTATCAGCCTCAGTCAGTCAGAAGAAGCATTGTTTTCATTCATAAAATACATAGCTTCCTCTAAATGGCTGAGCAGCTCTCAACCCGACACGATTTTGTTTCAGGAACGGGACGGGAAGGGAAATCTCTGTTACACTTCTGGCACGCAGCATTATATACTTGGGCTAACCTCATTCAAACTATTGAAAGTGAACCTTCACTTAAAGTGGTAGTAAACTTGCCCTAAGAGAAAAAAAAAATCACATACTAGCACATTATGAAAATACTTCATTTAGAATGAAACCCTCCAGCAGAGTGTGCTGCTTTACTGCAGACAGGGCTTCCATCTCCATACAGTCTTCCTTCTGGTTTGCAGCTCTGGCCAATTGATTGGCCGAGTCATGATGATGTCACTCTTGCGCATGCGCTTGGGAGTCTCAGCCGCTGCACAGAGCTCTGAAGGAACGGCATACAAGGCATTCACCGGTGATGTCGCCGGCTGCAGGGACACTAAATATGTGCATGTATAGGAGATATTCCTTGTACCTTATTATAAGCTTACCTGTAGGTAGAAGTGTCCAGTGGGAGTTTACTCAAACTTTAAAAGTGGAAGTACCCCTAATCTACCTGTCCCCCTTCCCCTTTTCCTAGACAAGAATTAAGTAAATTTGGCCATTCCTCTCTGCAACCTTTTGGGAGAAGCCACACATGTCTGAAGTTTCTCTATAAAGTTAAATCAAACCTGGAGTAAAAATCTCCATACATGGGTCGTTTTTATTTCGTTCAGCTAGTGGGTTCTATTAAAAAAAAAAAACTGACCCGACTCCCCCATCCACACAATCGATGTGGACAGAGGAATCCTTCCCACTGTGTCACTGTATTCTGACAGTGGGGAGACCCCCCGTCATTAGAATTCACAGATCACTGCAGTCTATTGCCTGCGGCACTGTGCGATTCAAAGTTTACTGACAGGGCAATTGATCAGAAGTCAGTCAGTAGATTACCATCACTTTAATCCTTCTCTATTCAAACAACTTTGTGATGTAGATATGTTTTAAATAGATGGCTATACTGTTTTTGATTGGCTTTTAATATCCATATACTCTTTCTGGTGACCATAAGGCAGCCTTTCTCAGTCGGTGGTTGCTGGGGGTTCCTGGAGCAATGGTCAGTTTCTGCCTTCTAGATACAGTCATGGCCGAAATTGTTGGCACCCTTGATATTTCTCCAGGAAATCATGTATTTCTCACGAAACGTATTGCATTAACACATGTTTTGCTATACACATGTTTATTCCCTTTGTGTGTATTGGGACAAAACAAAAAAAGGAGGAAAGAAAGCAAATTCGACATAATGTCACACAAACCTCCAAAAATGGGCTGGACAAAAGTATTGGCACCCTTTCACAACTGCGGATAAATAAGAATGTTACAAGCATGTGATGCTCCTGTAAACTCACCTGGGGCAAGTAACAGGTGTGGGCAATATAGAAAT